TATATATATATACACTTGCACTACTATTCCTACATTGCGGTTTTTCGCTTATCGCAGGTCTTCAGGGTACAGATCCTCCGTGATAAACGATAGTTTATTGTATTTGTTTTTTATCTTGCATAGAGCTCCTGATAGATGTAAGCAGGTGTAATTTGTTTATTAAAACTGAAGTGACTCAGGCTAAGCATCATTTCCTGTTAAAGTTTTTCTACTGGAGAAAAAGTTGCATAATTTATGGACTGCACTGCATTTAAATATGTTTACAGTCAACTACCATTTCCTTTTCTAACTTTTGCTAAATGATTTCAGGCAGTCTGTGATGGTTTTGTCTGCCTTTGTCCATCCAGGCAGAGTAATTTCCCTTCAGGACTGTTTAGTTCAGCAGACACGAAGAGGAGGAGAGAAACAGAAGCTGCATCCATCACAGCATCAGGTAACACCTTTTCACACTTTCACACATCCTCACCAATTTGGAACCACACATCTTAAAAAATAGAGCCGAGGAACAGTAGCATAGTGTACAGAAGTTGAGTTTTGTGGTTTTAGCCACACATCTCAGACCCCCTGTAAATGGCAAATCGCATGATTTTTATTTCAAGTTAAGAATTTGCAGGTCAAACATGAATGTAAAAAGTAATGTTGCCGTTTCTTTTCTTTTATAATTTTTTGCATTAGCTGACGTTTAAAATGAATGAGGCCAAAGTTTCAAATAATCTTGTGTACGTTTCTGAGCCAAAAGTTCAGGCTATTTAAGCAGCTCAGCAGCTCTGTTTTCCATGTTTTGTCTATTTCTAAAACAAGCTCCGAACACATTTCTCAGCCTGACAGTTCTCCAGGCACAGCACCGCCACGAAGCCAAACTTTCCTGGAAAATGAAGACAAACATTTTATAAAACAATCTACTTGAGTGGTATTATAGACATGTATTAAATGAACAGTGGAGCAGTAAGAGCAAATATGAAGCAGACATTTGACAGCGCAGTAGCATTTTACAGGCTGCTGTAAAATATCTTTTTTGTTACTTTCCTACGCTCGACTCCAGTCTGCATTTTTCAGCACAGCCTAGAAAACGTATTGGCTACAAACGGTTTAAGAACACAATTTTTAGGCTTCACCTTTAAATGTGTGAATCTGTTATGTGAACCCTCACCTCCCCCGCAAAAAAATAGAATGAGGGAAAAAAGATTTACATTCACAAAAACTGTTTTATAAATGTAAGAGAGCTTGACTTGTGGGGTTGATCTACAGAATGAGTTTAGGGACCATCTGAAGTAGGGCTGAACAATTAATTGCATTTGCAATAATATCGCGATATGATAAAATGAGATTTTCTAATCGCAAAGGCTGCGATTTGACTGGTCATGTGATCTGGTTACGTGACTTGCGAGTGAGCGGATCGGAGCAAAGCAGGCAGCGAGAGAAATCAACACTGCACTTTAACTGGTTGCTCAAAGGCGTCAGGCTCGACAGAAGCTGACACATCTGAAAGTTTGGTACCAAAGAGGCAGCACGTTCGTTGTTTGGAATTATTTTGGCTATAACAAAAGAAGACGCTGCGCAACGACATGCACTGTGCAGAACCTGCCTTGCTGCTGTTGCTACCTCTCGAGGTAACGTCACAAATCTTTATCAACACTTGAAAAAACACCACAAAGTAATTTACGATAGTTGCATGGCTAAATGCCAACGACCAGTGCTTCAACTTCAAGTAAGCAAAGTAGCAGCCGACAGGGTTCACTGACCGAACTGTTCCAAGGTATTACTCCGTATGAACATAATTCAAAACAGCACGTGGAAATAACTCGAGCAATAACGGAGTTCATAGCGAAAGACATGATGCCCATTAATATAGTGACCAAGCCTGGGTTTACAACTTTGGTAAACACGGTGGATAAGTGGTACAGAACGTCCTCGCGCACACATTTTAGCCAAGTTGCTATCCCGGCGCTACACAAAAAATACAGAATCAGAGTTGCAGCGGAGCTGAAAACTGCAGTTTTTTGCAGCTGAAACAGGATTTATTGCTTGTGTTTGTTGAGAAATACATGAGAAGAAGACATTGAAAAATAATCACATATCAAATCGCAATATTGAGGTAAAAAAAAAAAAAAAAATCGCAATTAGAATATTTTCCAAAATCGTTCAGCCCTAATCTGAACCAACGTTATTTGACGTTTTTAAGTATTTCTCATATAAGGTCACTCCAAAATGTTTTACATGAAAATTTAGTACTAGAAATGAGCTTAAAACTTTACTGTATGAGTCATCTTTCAATTCATGACAAAAATAATAAAGAAAACATTTGCTATTTCTGATTAATACTGACGAAAATGAGCATGATGAAATCCTAAAGAACTGGGAGAAATATTAAACTTGCTCTATCTTCCAAGTGTTTATGATGTGAGGAAACAAAGGGAAGGTTAGCGTAGGGATGTGATGCTTCGAAGCTTTCTGTGTGAAATAAAGTGTTAAAGGAGGTTTGCCTTGTCGCAGAAGACACATGCAGTTGGCGCTGTGTGTGTGTTTAAACAAAAGGAGCTGCCTTTTTTCATCACACTGATGGCTCTGAGCCTCGTGTCTTCACCGGATTGAACCCAGAATTGGTTTGTCCACCTTTTTCTTCTGCGTCCCCTCTCTGCTCGCCACCCCTGCAGCTGCTGTTTGTCATTTAAATAACAAATGCTGGTGGTTCCCTGATTTAGTGAGGGGTGCATGCCTCTGATGTATATTAATATTGCTGCACAGGGCTCTGTATTCGAGTCCATCATTCATTTGAATAAAAGAGGTGGAATTTAAAAACAGCCAGTGCTTTACTCGGATCCAGATTGGATCCATTTATTGCGCTGAGTGATGGAATGGCTGGCAACTCTGTCCTTCACCTTCCCAGCGCTGAACCTCATCCCATCAAAGTAAAAAAGACTTCACCCCTGACCCCTAAGGACCCCTCATATTCAACATATGTAACCAGAGGCATCCCTCAGTTCGTTGACAGATAACAGACTCAGTGTAATGTAAGAAATCTAAGAGTGGGAAATGCTTCTTTTTAAATATTAGGTGTATTAAAACAATATCCTTTGTGACCGAATCCTACATAAATATTTAATCCGTTTTTATATGTATTTGAATGGGCTATTGAAGCATACGAACAATAAGATGAGAAAATATAGGCGAGCCTCTGACGGGCACATCCTCATCGACCCTGTTTGGACTCTTTTCCCGCTTCTTGAGTTTAGTGCCCCCGCCCGTCCACCATGATTTATCATGCACCCCGTGTCGTCCAATGTCAGTTTCTGCAGCTGCGACTGCTCTGTATAAATCTTTGCTTTGGCAGCCTGCTGCACCAGGTCTCCGCTCAGTAATCACAGGACCTCCAGGAGACGCACATCCACTCTGACAAGCTTTTACACTCTCTGTGCAGGAATTTTGGTCTGACATAAATGTGCACAGAGGCAAAATCAGATTCTGTGATTTACGGAGTGAAGCCGTTTCCTGGTAGACATCTTGTTTTGCATGGAATGATTGTTGTCTGCATTCAGCTTGTATTTACCCTCAGTGAACACGACAGCCGAGTCGTTGGATTATCCAGAGGAAGTGGATTGTTGTATATGTTAGTGGTTGATCTGAAACTCTGTAATCAGGAGAGAAAATGGTCTGCGGCCGAAGGTATCCTCCAGGGCTCTACGGGGAATTACAGAGGTGGTACCCAGCTGTTGCTTCGTCTTCTTTCTTTGCCCTTTTAGCACCTCCACAGCAGTGCTAAAACTGGTTGTGAAAAACGCACACACATACCTTTAACTCTACACACAACAACTTATCAGAGCAGGTATCTGTTTGGATTAGATGACCACTCCATTTCTCAGCTTTAAATTGGCCGTTTTCTACTTTACTCCTCCACCATCAAATCAAGAAATTCGGCTCACGTGATTCAACAGGTTTTTTATTAGGTTTTGAACAAAAGAAGCTCCTTTCTGTTTGATATTATCAACTATTGTTCAAATTTTAAAAATTTAAAGTAGCTTTGTTTACATTTTCACACATTGTCTTTTGGTGATTACTGGATTATGAGTCATTTACGAAACAATTATAATGTAAATATTGTGCATAGTTTCATTGAATCACTTATTGTGGAGCTCTTGAAGGTTTTAATACCTTTTCCTGTTCTCACTGAACATTATTGTGAATTTACTTTCCGCCTTCATCTTTATCTCTACAAGCTGTTGTTGGTAAAACAAAATGACAATGTTCAGTGCTTAATTCAGGAATAAGTACATTTATAACTAGAGAAATTGCATTTCTTGCAAAAATGCGGTGTGAATGTTTATTGCAGAAGAACTTGCTGATAAACAGCTGACATTAGCTAAAAACATACTGAAATATAGCTAAAATGGAAGAACATGCATAAATTGGCAGAAGAAAGCAGAATGAACACATAATTGCTTAATTAGGTTTAAATAAAGAAATGAGCACAAAAATTAGGAAATAGACTAAAGAAAGCTGAAATTTGCAAAAAATAGCTTAAAAGGCAGAAAGAAGCTTAAACTACCAGGAGGATGTAGAAAGAGTTGTAATGAGCTAAAAAAAAAAAAAAAAAAAAAGTGGAATTAGCTGAAAAAGCTAAAATTAGCATACAAACAACTAATCACCATTGTAGCTGAAATAGCAGAAAAAGCTGAAACGCAGAAATAAGCTGAAAGGAGCATAATAAACTAAAATTAATAGAAAGAAGTTAGAAGAAGCAGAAAAATGTAGTTAGCATACAGAATCTTAAAGAAGCCCAAAACAACTGAAAAACAGCTGCAAATAGCTAAAATTTGCTGGGAAAAAAGTTTAATGTGCACACGGAAGCTGAAAGAAGCTGAACCAGAGCAAAATGTGAAAGGAGCAGTAAAAATGAGGGGGGGGGGGGGGGGATGTCTGAAAAAACTAAATATTTCAAAAAGCTAAAGTTGTACCGATACCAAAGCCATAGCAGGATTGCCCTGTAAGAGCTGAATGTTTTTATGATTTGTTGAAATAGCTTGAAAACTGTGGGATGAGAATCACGCCGAAAAACGTACGGGAAAAAAAGGATCACAATAGTGTGAATGCTTCATAAACCTTCACACTATTAATCATTTGATGCCATCAGGCTGTGTTGTCTTTACATGTTGGTTTAATATGGGTGCCCACTTGGGCCTAAAGTCAGGGTTAGGCTGCCTCTGCTCCCTTCTGTCTTCACGCGCCTCCTTGCCTGACCAAGACGGCTGTGTGACAGATCACCTGCGCTGGAGGCCCACCGTGTTCCTGCCCGCCGGCCCCCCTCTCATTAATGCCCAGGCTGGTGCGAGGGCTGCATGGCAGCACAAGACAAATAACGCTAACACTCAGCCATCACTTGTGCTGACAGAAATGCAGCCCACCGCACTATTCTGCCCTCTCCGGCTCCACTCCACAACCTGCTCTTGTCCTTCAAACCCCACCCCCATCTGCTCGATCTCCACCTGCACCTGTCTGCGTTGCTCCACCAAACTTTCAGAGCGGGGTTTTGTAGCTGTTGCTCGAGAGTGAGCTTCACACTGACACTGGTCGAGGTACAAGTGCTGCTTCCTGTTGCATTTATATCCACTCCGTTTTTGGATTGGAACCGTCTTTGTAGAGACATGTTTGATTTTAACAGCTCATTCTGTCAGGTGCTTCTCGACTGGTTTGTGTGCAAACCCTCTTGCCAGGAGGTCTGATTTAAATGTCCTGTTTTTGCGGTTGTGGAAAAAAAAAAACGTGCTTAAAAAAGAAAGAGAGTGAGCAGGACAGAGAGAAACACAAAGGCTAATCATTAAAGAACTATTCAGCCCTGTTCATTTAAGTGTGGGAATCAGCAGGCCCATTACTGTCAATGTGTAATTAGCTGATTAATAAACAGGGGGAAGGGAGTGCTCCAGGAAGGCCTGTAATGATTGTTTTTAAAGAGCATCTCATAAGAGCTTATTAAGATGGTAACGTGGTTCTATTCAACTTCCCATTATCACCTGCAATAAATGTATGTACTGTAATTCTCCTTCTGACAGAGAACCTTTGCATTCTAATTTTTTAACTGACCTTGATGTAAAACTGCTTGATTTGAAGTGTCGGCATTGGTTTAATAAAGCAGCAAATTACTTGATTTCATACTTTATAAATATATCATATAAACACATAAATATATACATGAAAATCCCATTAAGTGTTCTACATTTAGTGCTGTTTTTGTACCTGCTGTTGTGTGGGGGAACTATTTTGTCTACAGTCTATGTAAAATTGATAGTAAAACGAAAGAAAACAAAACTATTCTTTCAAGATGAAATATAGGTTTAGACGTAAGTTTAGAAATTAGATGTTTTTTAAATATATTTTTAGTAGCATTGTAATAGTCAAACGAAATGCATGCACTGGTCTTTGGTGTCACTTTTGGACAGTATGCTCCTGATTAGGGATGCACGATATTATCAGTATGGTATCGGTATCGGCCGATATTAGCGATAAAGTTAAATATTGGACATCGGCCATTCCATCAAAATAGCTCACCAATATAAAAGACGTTTTATATATATATATATATATATATGAATGAAGCGTTTTTATATGACAACCCAGTGACAAGGATGCCTGCAGCGCCAGCACAATGTTATAACATCACGCGTGTTGAGTTTAGATTTGTGAAAATTTACAAATTTGCACATATCGGATATCAGCCAAAAATCCAATTTTGTGCATCCCTACTCCTGATTTTAGAAATATGACAAAGATGAAAAAGCAGTTTATTATATTAGATAAAAGCTCAAATTCACACCAAGGCTCCACCAAGGATCAGTAGTTCTAAATGCAAACTTAATATTAATTAAAATAATATGGTGTGATACTCAGTTACAATGACCTCAGTTTTACCTGAGTTCAAGGGTAAAACAAATAGAGCCTTTATATCCCCAAAGACAAGTCTGTAGTTTCAGGAACTAGTCAGTATCATCTGGCCTCTTTGGTAAATAGATCTGGGTGTCATCAGCATAGCATTTAAAACATTTCTTGTAATTTCTGATAATGTTACTCAAAGGCAGTAAAGTATGAGAAAATTGAATTAAACCAGCCAGCTACTGTAAATTTATATACTGTACATAACCACATTATTAGGAAGAAGCACAAACAGTTTTTTTGTTTCACAACTCTATTTTTAAGTAATTTAAATGCAAATAAATAAATCTTATTCATATACCTATTAGTTTGAGCTCTATGCAAACAAATGCACAAACTTCAGTAACAACTGGTCGTTTGCTCCAAATATATTAATCTTTTTTCTTTTTGTCCTGATTTTGACCTTGATGTTGGAGTCAAGTTGGTGTGTGGTGCGCCTTGTGCATGTTAAAGCACTCAAACTAATGTTCCTTGCTGTTTCTTTGTATTGGTCAAATATGAAAACTCCTGAATTTTGATCAAGTCCTTTGACTATGTTTAACGCGTGTGTTTGGGTTGGACCTCAGCATCGGTTAGTCATCATTCCCTCAAGAAATATTAATCAATTATCTTGCCTGCCGGATCAGTTTGGGGAAGAAGTCATCTGGAAAGAGGCACAAGCAGATATATGAGGAACGAGCTCAAGCACATGCCGGTGAATGCTGTAATGCCTAATCCTTTGAGACAGCCCAGAGCCACAATGTCACTTCTAGTTCCCTTGTCCTTTGCTATGGTACTGCCTGGAAAAGTGTCTGGTGTCACTGCCACTAACTTTTGGGGGGCAATCTGGAGAGATTTATTTATTGAACCCGAAGTAGGAAAGCTAGGAAGCATGTTAGGGAGTTCAATTGTTTCAGGTATTTTGTTGTTGTCTGTGAAAATGGACTTTAGTGCACTTTCAAGCTTTTCTCTTCATGCTCAGAAACAAAGAAGGATTAAAAGTCGAGGATCAAAAGAAAATATTTTTTAAGAAGGAAGGGGTTTGTTGATACAGTATGACAGAGACTGACTTTCATTAGTAATATTTACAAAACTGTTAGAGCCAGATTTGATTTGGACCACATAACCAAAATCCCATTCATGTTATTTGAAGATGATTGCCGCATAGTTTTATTTCAGTATATCTAAAGCAGTTATTTTCATTTAAATTAGTGCAGTGTAGGATTTATTCAAGCAAATTATGGTTAATTCTCATTTGACACAATCATTTCACAGAAGTCTGTTGGAGTCAGTCTCCCCACCATCACAGACATTTACACCTCTAGATGCAGGAAGAGGGCTACCTGCATCATGAAGGACCACACTCACCCAGTACACACACTTTTTGCCCCGCTCTCCTCAGGAAGGAGGTTGAGGAGCATTAAGTGTAGAACCACTAGACTGAGGAACAGCTTCTACCCTGAGGCTGTTAGACTCATGAATCTCTAACCAGAATAATCATTGTGAAAAGTCACATCAAGTTGCTGCTGATCTGTTTCATGTTGCTGCTGATCTGTTTCAATGTTGCTGTGTTCATGCGTGCTCATCTGCTCACACAGACTCATGTTCATGCTGCTGTTCAACATAATGTTTTTATACTATTAGTGCTTAGTGTATATTTAGCTGATGTTTTTCTTAGTTCATATCTTAGATCTTATTCCTATTTTTCTTTTACATTTTATTGTTGGATGTAACTGAGACCCTCCGTACATAGTCTCGTTCCACCACATGTACCACATGAGATGCGAATGACAAATAAATCTCTCTGAATCTCTGAATTTCTCACTTTCTTTACAGCTACCACCCCATTTCACATAGATCACCAGAAAGAGGAGTTAAGAGAAGGAGCCGGGCACACAACAAACGTAGAAGCAGTGGGACCATCCACACCTCAGTTTTCTACGTCTGCTCAGCCTGAGAGTTTGTCTTTACTCCACGAGGACACTTGAATAGAGATCGACCGGCTCATCTAATTCCAGCAGAAGGTGGAAAAAAAAAGCTATTGTGCCCGAAAAAAAGAAACTAAAGCTCGAACTGTTATTACTGCGAAAACTTTACAACACGGGCAAAAAAATTACAAAGCACATCATTAGTCTTCAAATCAGCATGTTCCTGCTAGATCCAGTCCTTCCAGGTGTATTAAGCATGACAAATGTTAATGCAATCAAGTCTTGTTAAGCCCTCTGCCATCGCAAAGAGGAAGGCAGCTTCAAGTGGCTCCTCGTTTGACTCTAGGCTTTAGTGCTCCTCCTGTTTTCACACAGTCTCCAGGCCACCCGCGACTGCACCGTCTAATAATCATGTCCACTCTAGTACTGCAGCACTTATCAGCAGGAACCTTGGAAGCATGGTCAGTTGAGCTCTGGTGGCCAGTGGGCGTCTGCTGTACCTTAGGGCTGCCAACAATGGCTGTACGAACATCGCAGTGTTTGGCTACCACACGCTGTTCCACGGTTCAGAGAGGCAACCACTGGTGGCGAGCCACACAAAGTACAGGCCTCCTATTAGCATGGATTTGAAAAGCTACAGTTGCTACAAAGGTGCTCATTAGCACAACACAGAGGGAGTGTAGTCACGGTCCTCGGAGGGCCGCCTCTGTTCTCATCAGGTTACCGTCTATATTCAAAGTCCCCCCCAAACGTATTTAAAGTTCAAGGCCCGCTGCAGGTCTGTTTGAAAAGGCTGCTTTTCAGCGACGCTGGGCGAGTTACTTTAAATGGACGAATGCTAGCAAAGAGGAGTAAGAGAAGCTTTAAGGACCAGGAGGGACGAGTCGAACGCACTACTTTCACAAAGCCTTGGGGTATACCGCTTCCCAGACAGGTACATTAAAAAATAAATGCACCCTACAGTGAGATCAGACACAACAGTTTGAGCCAAGCTAGTAAACAAGTAGCATTTTCTAGATAGGTGCACTTTGTATGCACTATATTAGCACAAACTTTTGTATTCTGTAAATCCCTGCACCTGCAGACTATCTAATTCTGTTGAAAGGAGTCTGGGAGCTGCTTTACTTGGAACTTCGCTAATAAATATCCAAACATTTTAAATCAAAAAGTAACAAATATGGACTTTATATAACAAGACATCACCATCCACACAACACATGTCTTTTCAGACCTTTTAAAGTCTTTTTTTTAAGAGAAGAATCGCATTTAATAAAATGAGATTTGCCAATTAATATGAGTTATACGTCCGCAATAATCCTTGTGAGAAGGATTTATGTGATCATGCTTTAGAGGGGTGACATTTATAAATGCTGTGTGTGCACACTAGTCTAAATGGATGCTTCACACCAGACACGCTGCCACAGGAATCAGTCAAAGTGTTCAGACAGAGCGCCCCAACCCCCTCAGCTACCGCCGTCTCTCCTCCTGCAGCTTGACTCTAGGCTCGTTTCACATCAGGAGCATAAACCTGATTAATAGGAATTGCACAGGTTGGGGTTCATTATTAAACAACAAAAAAAAAAGAAGAAGCTACCATTAATGGCTTTTTAGAGATACATGCCTCTGAACTTGTTGACAAGTATCGACTGTAATTGTTTTAGAAGAGCTTTGTGCTGCCGCCTTATCTGACAGCCTGTGTTTTGGTGCCAGTGAAGTGACAGGAGAAAAAGATGCATCAAACATTTCCATCAGTAGGAGGAGAATACCTCACCTGCCATTTCATAATTAGCAGTCACCATAATGACTCCTCAGCCAGACCTTATTTCACTAAATGAATTCCCAATGGCTTGGAAATGAGGAAATAGCATCCGTGGAGTTAGTCAATTGTCCTGTTACAGTTAAGAAATCCAGCAGGCGGGTACCACTCATATTTCATTCCAGGTAAAGATTACCTGTCAGGCCCATGGGAGATGTATTGATCTGTTTTCCTTTTTCCGCCAGCAATCACCTGACAAAGGCACCTAGGAGGTGAGTGAATGAACGATGCCTGGTGTGTCTGGTGGAGGCTGCTGGATTCTAGTGTCCAGTGACGGGTGGAAAGGGGATGAGGAAGAGCGGCGATAATGCAGTCATAAACTCTGTTTGAACCTCGTCTGTATGCATGCAGAGCAGTCCCCTCTGAGCCTCGGGGTCACAGGTCAGTGGGGAATTTGCTTTTTTGGCTCCTTTCTTGTCAGTGGCATTTGTTCCTGCTGTGCAACGTGCACCAAAGGTAGAAATGCAAAAGGAAAGAGGCCGCTCTGGTTCCTGCTGACAACTGCACGTTGTAAATCACCGTGGTTCAGCTCACTTTGGACTTTTAAAGAAATCTAAATGATGTTGAAGCCTTTTTAACAAGAACCTGTTGTGGTTTCCTGTTTGCCTTGTTACATATTATTTGTCAGCCAAATTAATTTAAACATTTGCCTTGTTCATTGAAATGCCACCGTTTCAAATCCACGAGGCCATGCATTGAAAGTAGCTGCAACGTATAAAATGTTTTGTATTTTTCTGATGGTTTTAAATCCATTATTTACATATTTATTTAATTCATGAATGAAATTACATGTTAGATAGTGCACAAGATAGGTCTAATTTTTCCACGATCATATTTTTAATTTCATCTACAAGGATTTAAATAAATCTTGGTGATATCAGGACTCGGAGGCAGCTATCCACATTTGAAACCTTGTACAAATAGCATCTTATCTCTTAAGGCTGTTATCTTTATGCCTAATAGCAGTGGAGGCATGCCTAATTGCTTTGCAAATGATCTAAAGAGGATTACTAATCCCAGAAAGCCCACACCATGCCGCTAGATGTGAGAGATGTTACAATAGTCAAATTTAGTTGAAACACATAGTTCATGCAGTACATGTCTTTTCCAGAATCATCAACTCTGTTAAAAGTATTAATAGATAGTGGATACTATAATGTTTAATAATTTTTTAAGGTTGTTTAAAAAAAAAAATAATAATAAACATGTAATCTCAAATCATTTGTGGATTTTCAAAAAAAAAGCTTTGCAGTCATGTCTATTTATTTGTATTATTTATTGTCATAAATATTTAATAAAATGTGTTATTTATATGAATTCATGTGCAATAAATGAGTTTTTGGTGATTATGATTGTGTGGAATATTTATAAGAAAATGAACCTTTGACACATTTGTCTTTTAACCACGAAAAAAGTAAATCAATAAAATTTATGTTCATCACGTACAGTAATAAGACATAAATAATCACTGTACCTTAGATTCCCGAGTTAGAACATGTGTCTATATAAAACTGTTAGAAGCTGTGGTTACATAATCAAAAATAAAAACAGTCATTTCAAATTACAATGGAGAAAGCAACACAGTAGTTACAGGAGAGAAGGTTAAAATAAAGGATGCTGATTGTATGTGATTTCAGTGTCTCAAAATTCAATTCAAATTCAAAAATACTTTATTAATCCCAAAGGGAAATTAGTTGTTGTTGTAGCTCATCATCCTGGTTTCATTCAACATTTATGCTGCTTGCATGATGGGAGACTGCAACGAAGCCAAGATTCAACTTGTCTGCTGGCCTCCTTAGATAGAGAACTTTACTAATTGGCTTTTATGTGTGTGAATGTTTCTGTAAAGTGCCCTGAGACAACTTTGTTGTGATTTGGCGCTATATAAATAAACTGAATCAAATTGAATTGAATTATAGATGCTGATAGCTGTGGGCAGGAAGGATCTCCTGCAGTAAAGTCCAAGAATCTGGCCAAAGATGTCGATCCCTCCACCCCGATCCAGCTTGCTGTCAGATCCGGCGGGCCTCTTGGTCCTCCTGGGCAGCATAACTGCCTGAATGCTGGGCAGAATTCCTACCTGAGCGACGGTCACTCCTACCAGCAGCACGCCAACTTCTTTGTCGTCACAGACAGACAGCTGAATGTGTTGGGGGATGATCCTGGTCCTCCCGTTGTCACGAGCCGAGTTTCCCACCAGCTCGGCAGTCAGGCACTTGAGCACCGCAGCCAGGTTGACGGGAATTCATCCACAGTGCCTCCTTTTCCACTCATTTGGGTTTGGGGCTGTAGTTGAGGTAGTTGAGCTTTTGAGATGTTAATCAGCTGCTCCTGGTTGTTTAAAAAAACACCTTGATGTCATGGTTGCGCATCGTAACAAATGCCCAAAAGTAAAAAGCTTTCAGTAAAAATCCATCCAGCTGCACAGCATCTAATACCAGAGTAAGTAATCATCCGAAAAAAGCCATTTACATCTAGAAAAAAAAAGGAATTAAAAGTTTTTAAAAGTAATAACTCAGAATGAATGTAACAAAGCTACTCCAACATGAAGCCTCCCCGAGCGGCGCAATTCTAGAATATTTAAATGAACAAAGATCAAGTAGTTCTGGTGGTTTATGACTCTTGAATTTTTAGTAAGTTCATTCATTGTGAGTGTAGCTCATACGTGAGATACACCTTCAGTCCTATTTGAAACTTCACACTGATCCTTCTATAATTTTAATGACATGAAGACATTGCAACGAAGGCCCAAAAAATCTGTTAGCAAAATATATAAATGGCTGCCAGCAACCACACGTTTGTTTACCTACTGAAACGGCTCTATGACTGAAAATGGGTCCAACAATGGCGAACCGTTCAGGATAAAGAAGTCTATTGTTATGTATTGGTATAGATTTAGGCTCAGATTTCTGCAGGGAAGTTTCTGGCAGATTCAGCCAAGTCCTTTGTTTACATTGAACGCGGACCCACATTTCAAAATTGCACATCAATACATCTGGCGTAGACTCTTTCAAACTGTACTGTTTGATATACAGTAAGACACTCTTTTTATGTTTGATTTGCACTGAGTGCCTTTAAAGCCTAAAAGATACATTCAGAAAACCCCTAGATATTTTAAAATTGATGATGAGAATAGTGTTTAGTTGCTGCTCAAAAGTACTTTGCACAGCTGAGTGACACAATCCCACCACAATGTGACATCGGTCCTGCCGAATACAGATGTTGGTTTGGCTGCAGTGCGGCTGACAAAGAAAATACTCACTCGGCCGCCGGAGATTATCAGTCGATCCCCCGCTGTTAATCTTCCAGCTGAATGCCGAGGACCGCAGCAGTCAC